AAATAAATTTATAATTTATTAATTTTAAATATAAAATTAAGATTTAGTTTATTTCCGAATCGAATTGAACTGTCATTCTGTAGGACAGTGTTGCGTAGCAAGTGTGCTGGATATTGCAATTGCGTTCCGGCCAGACAGCTGTGGGCGCGTTGTTGTTCTTGGTGGCCAGCTGTGATGCTGCGTATTAAGCCTGGAAATGCCATTTCATCTTTTTAATTGAATTTTAATTTGTTTAGAATGCGCTTAGAGCTTCACACCAAGTGGCTGCAGGCTGCTGGCTTCTGACTGGCTTCTGACTACGTTGGAGCTTTGGAGCTCATCGCAGCACTTCAATTAATTTACTATGCGGAGTGGGCCAGACAAGATCTAGTTCTGTTCTGTTGTCTACACKGGCTGGCTGGCAGCTTTTCCCAAATCGATTAAATTTAATTTGTTTTCTTTGCCGGCATTTCATGCTACGTGTCATCGCGATTTTTCCAGCGGTATTTTCTTTTCGGTGCGCTGCAATTTTCCATTCTCTATTTTCCATTTTTACTCCCCATCTTAGCGACCGTAATTTCATAATGAGTTGACTTAATGCAGCCCAACTACTGCGGAGGGAATTTGTTCTTCGCTCCGCCGTCGAGCAGCGAATTTGTTCACGCGAACATAAAACAATAATGAAAATGCCGCACCAACACATAGTAAGCTTGATTATGACGGCAATTCGTCTAAGACTCAAATTTAATTTGGCTGCCTTTTTTTTTGTTTTTTTTTTTTTGTTTTTATTAGTTTTCCCTGTTGTGCCCCAGAGAACAGTTTTTGCACCTAGCAACGTTTGTTGATTTTATTTTCACGCAGTAATTGAAGTAATTTGAATTTTCTCTTCGGCACGAAAAGTTCTATTCGGTCAGGCGCTTTAAATCATTTTGGGTTCATTGCTGCAAGCGATTTCCTTGCCTTTCCTTTTGCTTTCATTTGTTGTTTTTCCGTACAATTAAAATGCTGGCACTCTAAATGCCAAAATAATTATGAGGCAAGGGACTGAAAAAAAAAAAAAAATAAATAAAAATATAAAATTAAAATACAAAAAACAAAAATATGAAAAATAAGCATATTATTATAATGATGTCCGTTACTGCGAAATTAATTAAAATTTATATTTCAGCATTTAAATTCTTGTTTTGACGGACCGCACCTGCCATGACTACAAAAAGTGTAAACCAAAATAATTTGATTGTGCCAAAAATCTTTTACGTGGACGCTATTTGCGTTGTGTTGTATTTTAAAATAACTGTAATTGTTAAGAGTGGACTGCAAAATATGAAAAGAAAAACATATTGTAGAGTAGTTTTAATTAAAAAAGGTTCTACTTAGAGATTTAATGAAATAACTTGTAGAGAATATTAATTTGCTGAATTTGAATATATTTAACATATTTGTATATACTAAATTGACAATTATTTTATGTAAAATAAAATAAATAAACAAAATAATTACTTACAAAAAAATATACTATTAGTATTTTTTTTTTAATTTTAAGCGAAATTATTATATTTAAATTTTATTTATATTTGTCTATTTTTTAGTTATTGATTTTAATTATTTTCAATATTTTTTTACAACATTTTCTATTATAATTAATTATATGCTGTCAATTATTTTGCAATACAAACAACTAATATACTCAATACGCATAAAAGTTGAGATTTTATATCTCTTATATATTTTGCTATTATCTATTTTCGACACGAGCCCGTATTAGTCAGGAAACAAACATTCAGCATTTGGGAATTAACATTTATAAACTGCCAGAAACTCAAAAATCTGTAAACAAAAAGAACGCGTGCCAAAGAAGAGGCACAAAACAGATAAAGAGAGTAAGAAAAAGAGAGAGAGAGAAGTTGACGGTCGTAAGCCGAATTTTATGCTGCAGGCTAAGAGGCCGCCAAGGTGGGAAAGTTGGAATACCGACTGACTTTGCATATTTATCATATGAAAAATTAAATGCAAACTTTTTGTTTTGTTCCATTTTTCGTGCGGGGAATTCGCGCACGTTGCGTTTGACATGTGTGACAAAATGTCAAAAGGAAAATACACAGAAAAATAAGCAAAAAGCGAACAATTCAAACAAAATTTAAGCTGAAATATTTAAACGTGGCTTGCGCACTTCTCGCCCACATGGCGTATGCGCAATTTTTGTCTCTGCTCGCCATTTGTTGGTAGATGTGTGTGACTGTGTGTGTGTTGCTGCCTCCTTTTTAATAGCTGAAATTCTGGCTGTGCTGACAGCTTTCGCCTTTATATGCAGCTCGCGTATTTGATGCAAAAATCTGCGCTCAAGTGTTGAATCTTCCGATGCGCGCCGCAACGACCTACACACGGCTCGGTACGCCAGGACCCGTGTTGCTGCTGTGCATTTGCATTGTGGCCTTGGAGCAAATGTTTCTGTCATTACTGCGTACACAGCCCCCATTCTGCGCTCCATGGAGCAGCGCACCCAAGGCAAAAACAAAGATGTTTTCACCAAAATGTCGGCAAATTAAATGTAATTTCTTTTCATTTCGTTGCTGCTCTCGAGAACCCACTGCCCTCGCACTTGATGGACTCGGCCCTCTCTCACATTTTGTGCTGGTGTTTCTTCTTCTTGGTCCTTCTTCGGCCTCCTCGTCTGCTCTCCTGCACTTTTGTGTAGCACGTGGCAAGCTGTCGTGAAGCAAATTGCCCGAATGAAGTTGCAACATGCAACGCGGCAGCCGCATGCCATGAAATTAAGTTGCAAGCTCCAGGATTTGCTTTCAACTTTCACCAAATTTGCTTTGCTGCATTTTCGTCCTGCTACAGACGCATACTAACACACACACAAACACACGCACACATTCAGGCAGAGTCCTTTAGTAACTCAGCAAGGTACTTCGCTTCCCCCGATGCGAGGCACGCGTTGCCGTCGTTTCTTCTGGTCTCTTGGCTGCACTCGACTATTGTCACGCTAATGCCAGCAGCTTTGTCCTGTTTAATGTGAATATATCTGGCATGTCCTTTAACTTGCCACGATACAGAGTCAAACTTAAAGAAGATAACTCCAAGCTATTATTTTATAGCTTATAATATTTATAAACCCAGTTTTATTTACATTATGAATCAATTAATATTATTCAATATATTTGCAGCAATTTGATTAGGAATTCTTTTGTTGAGACTGCATCTGTCAGGGTATTTCCTAGTCGAGCACACCCAATAAGACTTATGACTTTCTTCTGTATTACAGCTTTCTTTCAGCCTGTATATGTTATAATAAAATATTAAAGAGAACACTCTCCAAGTATGATATACACTTGCAGGGGATTGGCTAATGCTCGACAATGTCTTTTGATATGCCTAAGTAATTACCCTGTCGCTTCCCATTGCCAGTTAACGCACAATTTTCCTGTCAGGCTCGTAATTCGCTGCGTGTGGCAGAGCAAAAGAAAAAAAAAATGAATAAAGAAAAAGCGCTGCATCATAACTGACAGTTCGCATAAATTATACATGATTTTATATACATGCGCCGCCATTCGCTTGCCTCGGCCTGGCCCTATAAAGGACGACGGAAGATGCCGTGGAGAGGCAAACGCGAGCGCGCAGCCAGCTGACCGCAAGTGAGAGTGGACCATATAAAATGATTAAGCTGCAAGTGAAAATAATTCTATGGATTTTTATAATTTGGGCAAGACGTTTATGTGGCGCGCAAATTGAAAGCATAAATTCCAATGAGCTGCTCGCCTTCGAGGACTTCCTGCGTGCCCAGCACTTGCAGCATGCGCTGCTCCTCGGCAACTGCAGCGGCCAAATTGAAAACTATAAGAGATTGTTCGCCAACTACAGATTGCAGTTTTTTACGCCCCAAAGGGGCGTTCAGTTCCGGGAATTGTTTTACCACGCGGCGCCACGTACAGCGCTGCTGGTGCCGGCCCTCGGGGACGAGCAGACCAAGCGCTGGATCTACGAGCCGGCCTCCGCGGAGGGTTTCTTCAACAACAGCCAGGCCTGGCTGCTGCTCGGCAACAGCGAAGCGAATCGCTCAGACGACCCGATCATTAGGCAGCACTTGTCTCCGTACAACATAAATATCGATGCTGACATAACCGTGGCAATGCGAGCGCGGGGGGCGGCCAAGTGAGTTGAGCAGCGAGTCGAGCACAGCAGGACACATTCAATTTGTAGTCACAATGAAAAACTATTAACTTGCTTTCCGTGAAGTTGAGTCAAACAGTGCTTAATAAACGTATGCATATTTATTTAATATCATACACTGTGCAAGCTCGGTCATGTTAGGGAATCAACAATTTCATACGAGTCACAAATTTTAAGAGTTGTCCATATTATTATTAAAACAATATTAAAAAAAAAAAAAAAAATGAATGAAGAGGGATTTTATTTTGAAATGAGAATATTTGCACAATGAACCTCTTTTTCCTCTCTTATGCGGAGTTGATGGCATTGCAAATATATCATTAAACCGAGCTAAGTAGAAATAGTAAGTAAATTAAAAACCAAACTCCAGTTTAGCTGACAATAAACTTTATTTTAAAATATAAACTTCAAAACATCTAATTATAAGATCAAAAATATTATTTTCGTGAAAAAATATTAAAAACTATGGAAAGAATGTAACAGATGTAATTTCTACAAATTAATTTAAATGTAAATGTTTTTTTTTTTTTTTTTTTTGCGTATGCGTTGTTATGAATAATGTTATGAGCATTATATGTATGTCATATGTATATATGAGATATATTTATTATATATAATCACAACACTCTAATATATATTTCTACATGTGTGCAACTGAGAAAAAATCTCTGAGACCATTCGATTGCGTCGGCTCCTCAACGAGCTCTTTCGTGATAGTCGACCTTTGTTTTACTTTACTCTGATGTTTCCCTTACTGTTTGATTGAGCTAAATACAGCGAATAAATTGTTTGTATTATATGTATGTAAGTATTAACATGACTCCGATAGTTCTCCAAACACATCGAGAGACTACTTGACCTGATTGTGTGCATGTGTATGAGAATGTGGAGACTCTTCAGGTCGTAAGAGCATGACATGAGTAGCAGAACTCAATGCGATTAACAGAACACAAAAACGAAAATACCCGACGAGTCCTGCTCTAAGCGGGAGCCCCACAGTGCGTATGAGTTATATTTAGACATTATTATAGCACAATTTAATTCAGGAATTATACGTTAAAATCTTTTCAAATTGAATTAAGAATTTAATATACTTGTATATTTTGTAAACTTAGGATTTTTTTTCCGTTATCAAGAGTTATCAAAAATATCAAATATAAACTTTAGCGATAATTGTCATACAATTGCTTGCAGCCAAAGCTGGTTGCTATACGATGTCTACCGAGTGAGCAAGCAGACGCCGCTAATGGTGCAGCTCAAGGGGCACTGGAGTCGAGCTGATGGCTATCAGGTCCTGGCGAGCTTTGGAGAGAGCTGGATACGGCGCCGCCGAAACCTGCACAACATTACGCTAATAGGCAGCACTGCGGTGAGTTGCTGCAAGTGCAGAAAACAAGGGAAAAGTCAACTATCATCGCTTTGAATTGCAGTTAGTCGAGAAACCTGCAGACATGGACGATCTGAGCTACCTGGGCAACGATAGGGAGCTGCTGCAGCTGGATCCCATGCAGCGCAAGACGTACCAACTCTTTCTGCTGATAGGCCGCATGTACAACATGAGGTGGGAGCTGTTCTATTCGTATTTCTGACAGTGATTGAGTTAACTTCCAGTCGAACTACAGCTTGCAGGTGCTCTTTCGCGACACCTGGGGCCAGCTGCTGCCCAACGGCAGCTGGTCGGGCGTGATTGGCCACATAGTCAGCGGCGAGGCAGACTTCTCCGTGTGCCCCATCCGATTCGTGTCCGAGAGGAATCACTATATACAGTACACGCCCCCACTGCACACCCAGCTGTAAGTATTTGCTCAGCCTAATTACACTGTGCTGCATGATTGAGTTTTGAGAGGAACTATTCTAGTAAAGCTCAGTTATAAGTGATTGCTACAATCTCAGTACTCAGTCTCAACTCTCCCCTCTCAACTCCTTCTCCCTCTGTGCCGCAGCATCCACTTTCTGTTCCGCCATCCGCGCCGCAACAGCATTCGCAACATTTTCTTCGAGCCGCTGAGCACCGAGGTGTGGTGGTGCGTCCTGGTGCTGATGGTGGGCAGCGCCCTCTTGCTGGTGCTTCACATGCGACAGGAGCGGCGACTGCTGCAGCCAGCGGGGCAGGCCATGGAGCGGCCCGTGTCCTTTGTGTGGTTCACCATACTGGAGACGTACTTGCAGCAGGGCCCCGCCGCGGATCAGTTCCGGCTGCCGTCGACCCGGCTGCTGATTAGCGCCAGCTGCATCTTCAGCTTCATGCTGATGCAGTTCTACGGCGCCTTCATTGTGGGCTCCCTGCTGTCGGATACACCGCGGAGCATTGTCAATCTGCAGGCGCTGTACGAGAGCGACCTGGAGATTGGCATGGAGGACATTGCCTACAACTTTGAGCTGTTTACCAACACTACAAACCGGCTGGTGCGCGACATCTACAGCCAGCGCATCTGCCGCGCTCGTCCACCCAATATCCTCACCATCGAGGAGGGAGCGCAGCGCATCAGGCGCGGCGGCTTCGCCTTCCACACGGCCATTGATCGCCTCTATCGCCTGCTCAACGAGCTGCTGGACGAGCGGCTCTTCTGCGAGCTGCAGGAGATCATGTTCAACCCGCCCTACCTGAGCGCCTCCATTTTGGCCAAGAGCTCGCCCTGGCGCGAGCATCTCAATCATGCCATTCTCTACCTGAGCGAGACGGGGCTGATTGCCTATAATGACCGACTCTGGACTATGCCGCGGCCCGACTGCACGCTCTTCAAGGACGCCCAGGTGGAGGTGGACCTCAAGCACTTTGCGCCCGCGCTCTTCACCCTGCTCCTGGCCATGCTGGTCAGCGCGTCGGTGTTTCTGCTGGAGCTGCTCTGCGGCTACCTCAAGGCACGGGCCAAGCAGCAAGCCAGCCAGAAGGTGGATAAGGCTATGGTTTTGCACCCTTAATGAGCGAGTAATAAGAAACGGGCTTTAATGTCGGCTGACAATGGCTGCAGAGCAAAAATTAAAAATTCCATTAAGTTGCAAACACTTGCAAGGAGCCCGCAAGCTGCCGCTGCAGCCAGGGCTATCTACATCTAAGCGCACTTTTAATTCTGACTTAATTATCAAATGCTAAGGACCGCCAACGGGCTGCGGCAAATGGCCGTAAGTTTTTATTAGCCGACAAGCTCTTAGCTTGGCTTCAAGTGGCCGCTCACTGCAGAAGAGTCAATGGGGAATACGCTGGTTAATTATAACCAGAGCAAAAGATGCATCAATTGCTCACAGCATTCCAAAGCAAAATATAGAAAAATATATATGAATTATAGAAAAAGAAAATGTATGAAATATTATCATTAAAAAATATTCAGACTATTAAATATATCGTTTCATTAAAGCTGCAAAAATAAATAAATAGGTTTCTCTATTCATCTCTCTCGTTCTCTCTCTTTCTTTTCATTTCTATCCATTTAATATGCTCAACCCTTTTTTGTAATAATCAGAGCTATTATTGCAAAATAACCGTATTAAAATGCAATTGACGATTGTCGCGCAATTTGACCTTATAAAACTGAATGGTTATGGCCATGTCTATTAGGGCATTGCCAACGGCTGACATAACCTTCAATTAAACTGTCGTTATGTGTGACAAACACACACGCACACGCACACAGTGACATACTCATACTGCATATTGCATTTCCTACGCACCCTAATGGCTTCATTCGAGTCGCGAGTCGCGACTAACTGTAATTGCGGCTCATTATAGCCGACAGCCACCAATAAAAGAGCGCCCGTCTCGGCTGCCAATGCGCTCTAATGCAATTTGTGCATATTACATCTGGAGCAGCCGGACAGCCGACTGGCTTGGATTAGGCCCCGAGGCAAGCAGGTCGACGGAGCTCATTAGAAATCTTCGTTACGAGGCATGGCAAACTAAGGAGCCAACACAGAGATGGCAGAAAATATCTAAGAAATTTTATATATATTCAATAAATTTATTTAAAAAAAAACACTTGGGTAATCACGCTCTGCTAATGGGAAATCAGGGTATATTGGTTTTGTTAAACGGTATGTCATAGCAGACCCCATATACACATATATAAATATAATTTATTAAAATATATATGTTGATTATTTCAGTTATTTTTATGGGGCTTTTATTTAAATTTTTCCCCATCTGT